TGGAAACCGGAATGGTTTTTTTTTTTTTTTTTTTTTTTTTTTTGGGAGTTGATGTCTTGGCAAAGATAAAATAATTGGAGAGATAGATAGAGAGAAAACTTGTGGGGTGAGGTAGCAAGATACTCACTCCACATCGTTTATAAAATTATAAATATTTTTCATATTCTATATTCACAGATAATTTAATTTTTCAAGTGTTTATTGATCCTATAATTCAAACTCAAAATTACTTGTCAAACTTGTAACAATTATGAGTAAATATTTTCTGCAAGATTCATGTTTCATCAATAAGATTATTGTAATGACAAACATTTTTTTTATTATTAAAGAAACTCAATTTCAAGACTACTAATTAACTAATTTATTGATTTATTCACAAATTAGTGTAAAATAAATTATGATTTTTTTCTTGCTTGAATTAAGAATATTATGTAGCTGATAATTAGAAACTAACTTATTTAAATATTTAAAGATTATTAATATGCTGAGGGAGAAAATTGAATTTTTGTTAATATACACTAAAATCTTTACCGTTTGTATTAGACATTGTTGGTATAATAATATACAACAATGTATGTGTATTAGTATATTGTGATATTTATTATTATTATATGATTATATTTATTGTTATTATAGGATGGTATAGTGGTTTTGTTTTGAGTCACGGTCTACTCTACTCTAGTCTAGTCTGTCCTGGGAGAGGGCATTTATGGAAACCTACAAGAGGGAAGCATGGGATGTAGCTGGACTGAGAATGAGAAGGATGTGAATGTCTTTTCATGTAAGAGCAACTCATGAACAAGTTCGACAACCTTTGTTCTTTTTCAATTCACCATGCAAATCCCAAATTCTTCTTTCAAAAACTTTGTACTCTACAAAAATAACTTCAAAATTAATATATAGGACTATTATTAGATAAATGGATGATATATAGTCCGTGGTAGTTACTTTTTATTAGGTAGGAATGAATAGTAATGAAAGAAGAGAGAGATAGTAATCATAGTATGATAGTAGTAATAGTTATTAACATAATTAATTTCTATAATAACAATAGTTTTAGTTTGGCTTGCGAATTCCGCTAGCGGTTTCAAAGAGACTTGAAATGAAATCTCTAACTCTTCTTAAAGTTAAAAAGGGCAAAGCAATGCAATGGTGGGTTGCATGAACAAAGATGCAATGGCACGTGACACAGTCGTCACTTCAAAAACTCTACCTCATCTATGTCTTATTCTCATTTCAATGTTCACTACTCCTCATTCTCTACGATAGAGATTAAGGATGGCAACGGGCGGGGCGGATACGGGTTTCATGATATTTGTCTTGTTCCCGTAAGTCAAATTTATCTATGTTCCCGTTCCCATATCCGTCGGGTATGTGATTTCATCCTATCTCCGTCTTCGTCGAATATCGGGTATACTCGTACTCGTATCCGTCAATTTTTTTATTTTTTATTTTTAAAAAAATATGATATTTTTAAATTATTTTTTTTATTATATTATAATTATAATTAAGTTATTTATCTATCTCATACTATAATAAATAATAACACATAAAAAAATATTAAAATTCTTTAATATAATTAAATTGAAAGTAGATATTAAATTAAAAATAAGAATGGGGACGGGTACGGGTACGAGTACGGGTACAGGGCGGATAAGTACATATACATACCCGTACCCGATTTAATATATCGGGTTTTACCTGTACCCGTACCCGGTCAAATCGGGTATTCTCCATTAAAATCGGGACGGATTCGGGTATTACTCACGGATACGTGTATATTTGTCATCCCTAATAGAGATCTCTTTCATGGTCTTTCTAAAATAAAATATATTATATGGTGCAATGAATAATAAAGAAATAGAGGCTCCCCATAACTTTGTAGGAAGAATATTAGGATGCACGTAGAGTAGATCTATCTATGTATCTTTCTTTTTCTATGTCTTGCCCTTCATTGGGTAATGACATAACTTGAGGGCAAAGGTATACACTTGCTTAGCTAGTGTTCCTACGATTACTATAATATAATACATCACAGTTTTGTTCTTCTTTTCAGGAGAGGAAAAGATACCCGTTTCATCTTTATTCCATCACACTATCCCAACTCAAACTCAAATTTGGAACTGGGTTTAAATTTTTGTGCAACATGTAATTAAATGCGTGGAGTGGTATATGATTAGTATTGGTTCTTTTAATATTTTAATATTTTTAATTATATTATTCGTATAAAGTATTTAATTATTTATCAACTTTGTCTATGAGTATTTTACATTATAAAATCTAACTAACTATCTCTAATTAATGAAAATTCTTTTTCTATTCACGTTTTCATTTTCATCTAAGAATTTGAATCTTACACTTTGTTTGAGATGATTAAATTCAATTTCACTTGAAATGATAACTTGTTAATTAAGTTTTTTAGAGATAAACATTGTTTAAGAAGAATTTATATTTTCTAGTTATTGAATAAAAGGTATAATCACTTTTAAATAATATTTTTTTTATCAAATATAATTGATTGTAGAACCTATTGATTATATTTAATAAGAATTATATATATTTTTAACATAATCATATTGTTGAATACAAGAAAACATTCTAGACCATTTATGGAAAAGAAAAATATATGTCATCTAAAACAAATTATTAGAATTGACATAATAATAAAGGAGTCGAATTATATACATAAAATTAAGTTTAATTGATATTATTCTCTAATCAAAACTAAAGTTTTATCTAAATATTATAAATAAATAAATAATAATAAGACTTATATTAAATATAAGTATATAATACCGACACAAAATTTCAAGTATAATTGATGAATAGTGATAACAAAATTTACTTAGTTTCATTCTTTTTATTACAAGATAGTCACCCTAAGTGCTTCACGGAAATAAAGGGCAACAGTTTGCGTGTGTGGTAATGCATTCCCAACATCATTATTATGAATGAACAAGACGAACTGGTCAAGCCAATTGCTTTCTATATATCTATGGTCAAATGAAACAGGTGAGGGATTGCTAAACCTTGTATTAATATATGAAGGTACTTCAATCCAAAAAATAAAATATATTGGCAAGAGGGTACTAAATAATTTATTCATATATTAATTATTGTAGTTAATTAAATATTTAACAACTTGGATGTCAAATTCACACAAGAGTGCTTTCTTATACATTTAGTATATACTTGGGTGGTAGTAGTGCATGTGTTGTATGATTTAAGAGGATTACTATAATGGAAAATCAAAAGCACATGACCATCATCTTAATGATAACAAAAAAGATAAGAATAAAAGAAATAAGGAGCACATGACCTCGTAGGCTACCTTAGTATTTTTTTTCATTTCCAAAGCACATGATACTCCTATTGAAAATATAGTGTTTTTGTCATCTTGCATTTATTTAATCTGGAAGGATCTTGCATTTTTTTTTCTCTCCTTATGTTTAATAGAAAAAGCTAACTCTCCAACTCATTTTTAGTCAAATTGACCAAACTCATATATTTATCACTGTCATAGACTCATAGCATCTATCTATCTATATGTATATAAGTAAAATATTCTTGAAGACAAATATTAAAAGAAAATTCGAATTTCAATTTTATACTTTTATTAATTATGGTCTCTATTCAAATTATCTAATTAATATTTACATTTAAAATATATTAATATTATATTTCATATGAATAAACTAACATTTACCAATATTGTTTAAGTTGACAATATATTATATTTAATAAAAAATAACATATAAATGTTTCATAAAGCCTACAATTATTTAATTTGAAATATAATTAAAAATAATGAATATATCACATTTTAGTAAATACAAAATTTAAATATTTGATCACATTGTTTAATAAATTAAAATTGACTATGTATATATGATTATTTATTTAAATATTAAATATTGCTGGATAGTCAAATTTAATTATAATATATTATTTATAGTAATTAATAAAAATAAATAAATAACATTTAATACATTTGATAATAATAAAAATAATAAATAGACTATAATTAATTAATAAAAACTTAAATATATAATCATACTGTAAATATGAGTTTATTTTTATATTTAATAAATCAAATATTTAATTTTATAAAAAAAAAATATTTAATGTTGTTGGAAAGTCAATTTTATTTATAACTTAGTAATTATAATATTTATTAATTTAATAAATAATATTTAATGATATTGAGCAATCAAATTTACTAATAATATAGTATTTATGTTATTTATTAAATATATAATATATTCATTAAATTCAATAAATGTAGTATATGTTTTAATGAAATATAAAAGTTTTATCATTTTTATTATTGTCCGAAGTAATTTGTGGATAAAACATATTTCAATACATAAAATATATGTTTATTATTATCACTGGTCTTATTTATAAGCAAAAAATTGGATTTTTGTTTGATTCTAATTATAAATAACAATTATTAATTTTTTAATCATTTAGAATTAAATTTTTTTTACACTCTTCATTTATTGTTAATTATATTTCCTATGCATTAACTTATGACAAAGATTATATATAATAACCTTTTAAGGGAAATGATATATTCAAAATAAAATTTACATGAAAAAATTAATCAAAAGTAATTATTTGTTTTATCTTAATTATTTATCCTATATTACTTATAATTAGGATCAGATAATATTGTTTATGAGAATTAGTTTATACTTCAAAGCATAAAATTGAAATATATAAAAATATATATAATATATATATATATATATATATATATAATAATTTGTAGATATAATAATTTGTATTTCAATTTCTAT